GGGGCTTGTCATTTCTTTAATTAATCTCTTTATATCTTGCCTCACTTGGATCAGGAGTACATCTTTAAATTCCTCTATGAGATCATGTAAATACTTTTTAATTTCGGCTGATGCTGTGTCGAGCAATGGATGGTTACTGTGTTTGTTCTCTTCAGTGTTTAGTTCTCTTGGGTTTAATTTCTCCTGTTGAACAGCTGGAGATTTTTTTTAATTTTTATCTCTTGTCATGTTTCTGGTTTCTTTCAGACTGTCCTGGAGTTCTCTGGCCCTCTCCGAATTGCTTAGGGCCTTTCAGAAGCGTGCTGGCTTGAGTTTTTGCTGTCCTCCCCAATTTGCTGTTATCTGGGGTCGGCTGGGATGCAGGGGCGGTACAGTCTAGTCTCTAGCCTCTGTGTCAGTTAGTTCATAAATTAGGCTGTACTTTCTGGTTGTCACTGAGTTGTGACCATTCTGCATCCGCCCATTGGGCCCCAAGCAGAGGCCTGGTCTAGCCCCAGTAGCTCCTGCCAGTTCTCCCTGAATCAGAAGCAGCTGGGTAATGGCACAGGATTCTGCCCAGGTCCCAGCCATTCTCTTCCAAACCTCTCTGTGATAGGAGCTCTAGAAAAGCAGATCTGCCCAAAACCAAGATGGCTCCCACTAAGTTCTCCGTGCGGAGCTGAAGCCAGCAAGCAATCAGACTCTGCCAGGACTCAAGATGTCTTCCACCAGCCCTCCCTACAGGGGGACCTGGTGATGTTACCAAGCTGCGGTTTCTGCCGCCAGGCTAATATGTCTGCACCAGATTCTGTGTTATTGATTTCCCCGTGGTGGCGGGCCAGCTGTTCTCTGGTCAAACCCAGCAGCCGCGGGGGGTTTTCTGTACTCACCAGAGTCCGGTGCAAGTCCCCACTCCGGGACCGCCGCACACCAAGCCGTCCACTTTTCCCCACCTCGTGGCTCAGCGCTGACCGGTCAGATTTCTGTGCACCATTTAGATTCGAAACGCCAGAGCTCTGTACATCTGCTCTGGTGCAGCGGTGCAGAACTGGCTGCCACCTGGAGTCTCGATCTGGGTCTCAGTTTCCGCAGTCCCCAAAAGCAACTCAGCTTTTTGTGCTGGGTCCACGAGTCTGTTCGTTGATTTAAGGGCATGGGATTTGCAGCCTCCGGTCTCAGCACGACTTTAAATCCTCCAGCTGTACTGTCTTGGTTAATAAGAATCGCTATCGATTTGTCTGGTCCTCTCCATGCTGTCTTTTTTTTTTTAGCTTTGAGTTTGAATTCTCTGGAGAGATTCTTTGCTCGATCCCCTAGCTCGCCGCCATTTTCAGACTCTGTAGTTCCTTTTTTTGTACTCCTGATTCTTCATTCACATTCTTTATGCTTAAGATATAGATCCTTTTGTCATCTTTATGTTGTTACTTCTTGTTTCTTTGTTGTTTTTAAGAAATTTTTCCTTTCATGATCCTACATTGAAATTCTGTCCTCCAGTTTGGATAATCTATCCTTAGTTTCTTTCAAGAAGTTTTGCCAGCTTTCAATGGAGTTGTTTATTTCCTGATAATCTCTTTGAACCTGCTTCCTGTATTCTATGTTTTCTTCGTATTTTTCATCAAATGATTCTCTCCCTTTTTTGTGTTCTCCATTCTTCCATCTGTGTCTTCTGGAGAGGTGCTTAGTATTTGTTTTATTAATCTACTTATATCTTGCTTTACTTGGTTAAATATTTCACTTTTGAACTCATCTATGCGGTCCCAAAGATATCTCTTTATGTGCACTGATGCTGTGTGTGATATTTCATGCCTGTTGTCCTCAATCTCTTTTGTATTTACCTTTTCTGGATCAATGTTCTCAGGGTTGGGGGCTGGGGACTTTTCTTGTTGCTTCCTCTTTTCATATTTTTTGTTTCTTCCATACAGGCATATAGAGGAGGCCCCAGTCTTTTTCTTTGCTGGTTATGGTTCTTCTGAAGTGCTATGGCTAGGTGATCCTGCCCACTCCAGTGTGCTATTGAGGTGCAAACAGGGTCAGCATGTGCAGGCCCCTCTTCTCCAGCTTAGTCACCCTGCTGAATCCTTCACTGTGTTAGTGTGCACTGTGCTTAGGAATTTGGTTTGGGACAACTTATTGCATCTCAGCCAGGGATGTGATCGAGGCCAAGCTCACCTCACCAATCCCATCTGGGAAGCAAACAACTGACTGAAGTCATTGCTGTTCCTTGTTTTTGCTGGTCCTGCCTGGTTCCAAGATAACATCCCACTGAAGCGACACCCTTTTCAGTGGGAGGGTTTTATTCCTGGCACTCACCACAGGTCGATGCATGTCCCCTGCCAGCTCAGCTCTCTGTTGGGCCTGGTGACCCCCAACCTCATTGGGACTGCAGTTCCAGTGAGTAGAAGCAGCAGAAATTTAGGCAGCTTGAATAAGTTGTAGCTGCGCAAGTTTGAGCTCTGCAGCAGGAGCACCAAACCTTTAGCTATTCCAATAGTAGCACCAGGACTGCATGTTCTACTGGTTCTTCTCACCTGAGTTTCTTCCTACATCGAGAGGATCCATCTCTCTCTGTCCAGGTCTCCCCACACTGTGTTATTTTGGCATTTAACTTGACTATCTCAGGGGGCCTCTGTAATCTGCTCTTTCCTATCCACCATCTTTACCAGAACGCTGAACTTTAATAAGTATAAATGTTGGTTTATCAATCATAGAAATGTACAACACTTTCAAAGATGTTATTATAGAAGAAACTCATTGGAAAGTGTGGGGAAAATGATTGTGGAAATTCTACTTTCCCTGCCATTTTAAAAAAATAAATTTAACAACACTGCAGAAAATACAGTGTGTTAAAAAGCTGTTTACTTATATGGGAGGACATGAGTTTTTAACTCCACACTTGTCTGAGCTTTAGTGTATTGTTTATTGCAATTTCTGTTTATTTCACAATAAAATCATACAGCTCTGCCTCTCTTGTCTTCAACAACCTCCAGATTCTATTTGCTCTTCCATAAGTAGAAAAACTTTTTATGCATACCAAGTCTTGGCTTGTAGTTCTTTGTTTGACTTCTCTTATATTGTTATCACAGGGGTGTAGAAGTTTTGAGGAAAACAATGTGATGTACACCTTTTGCCATATTATCACTGGTCAGTTTCTAATTATTGTGCTTTCATTTTTCTTTAACTTTCATAATGACTGATTGTAGTAAAAATTGACATCAGTGTTTTCATGAAAAATTTGAGGCATATTAAAAGATGCCAGTGAATACACAGCTAGTCAATGACAGAAACAAAATGAGAATCGAGTCCGGATCACTGCAACAGCACTTGTCAGTTTCATACCAATGTGCACAAATTCAGCCTGATGTTGCCATGACTGGGGCTCTTTGGCTCCCTTCAGATGGAAATCATGACCCTGAACAGTGCAGCCCTGCCAGCAGCCCTGATGCCGCTAGATGACACCGAATAAGCTGTATGCCAACAGCTGATACAGCCAGCTGCTGGTCACTGCCACTGCCAACTGTCACCATCTGGTGCCAACTTGTGCTAGACACCAAAGGTCACCTGGGACCTCTGCTGCTGATCTTCACTAGCTGCTGGTCCCTGGAGCTCCTCAATCTGCCAACACTTAGTGTTCATTGATCTTGCTTTTGAAGTGGTCAACAGGACTCAAGAAATAAGTCATGAACAGGTATATGGGACCAACTAGCCAAGCCTTTACTTCAGCAGATGTATGGGCAGTACATGGTGGTCAGCACAGCAGAGTCTTAGACTAACCTGAGAAGTGTGGGGGGCTCCTTAGAAAGAGCAGCAGTCCTGTGATTGGTCCACCCAGAAGACCCCTGTTTGGTGCAAGGACCCAGGATGGCCTCAACTGTCATGGTTATGACCTGATGAAGGAAGGGGCAGGGCTGGAACCTGGGAATTTCTGGAAGGCTAGCTGTGGGGGGGGGATGTGAACAGTGGGCCCAGACTCCTCCCTCTTTAGTCTTAGCTACACCAGGTATCTCCTTTCCCCTATTTAAAAGGAGGAGGGTTGGAGCGGCACTCATGTTGGAATGGAGGGAAGAGAGTGGCAGCTAGATAACCAGGGAGGACACTGAAGCACACTGTCCTAGTCCATTTGAGGAGCAAAGAGGCAGTGCTCAATGGACAAGCCACATCCCCTCCAGCCTTCCAGGGTGGGGTGGAAGGTGGAGGTGGGAGACTTGAGTGCTTCTCTTCTATTTTCAGATTTGTGTAGATTCTGTCAACCATTCCAACACTGGAATAGTTTCATAGACAAGTATCAACTCACTGTATTTTAAATATTCTTTTCTTCATCTTAATGGTATATTCTGCCTCCCTGCTTTTATTCGGTTCTTCAATTCAAAGCACATATCCGAATATAATACGGTTCCCTAACCCTAACCCTAACCCTAACCCTAACCCTAACCCTAACCCTAACCCTAACCCTAGCCCTAAACCTAACCCTAATACCCTGATAATGGCAATCTTCAATGCTGAATTACATCCCAGGTTAAGTCTGGAATAAGTGATGTCATTTTGAATGTAAATCCTGAAAACTATGTTGATCTTCTTTGCATTCTGCTCCCCACTCTGCTCGTATCTGGTCCTGTCCCTCTCTCATTCATTCTCGGAGGGCAAACCCTGAGATTTGGGGTTCCCTCTACCAAAGCTTCAGTCATGTCATTGATTCAAAGTCTCAACAATAAAAAACAGATTTGGAATCTGCTGCTCAGCCAAGATGTCTCAAAAAAACCAAATCCAGGCCTGCTCTAGTGTTACCCAGATGAGGATTTCCAGCAACAGGACTCTCTGCAGATGTTTCAAATGAAAACAAGTCCTAATGAGTCAGGGTTTCTGATTAATGCCACCGTTTAAAACACATTTCAACATTTGAGTACCTGATTGCATGTTTCCCAGACACCCATAACCCTCAAAAGAACTAGCTCAGACACTGAGAACTCTACCACAATCCATACAAATACTTTAATGTATGTAGAAAGTTCACAGTTTGACAGTGCAATAATTAGAAAGTTATGTGGCAGAAAGATCTGTATGGGGCTTATTACAGAGGAATTTCATGGTGATGATAAAACAGTGAGAAGTGGAGGAGTCACAAACACAAGAAGCAGCAAGAGACAGGAAGCCCAGCGGATGCTGGAGGACCGAGAGCTTGGGGGGGGGGGGCAGCCCCTCTCTGGCCATCTCAGGGCTGGAAAACCCCGAAGAGTAATTTTCATGGAGGTGAGCAATTTGGAGCCCTTCCAGCTTTGGGAAGTTATCAAGGCACAGGTTTCTTCGTTGATCATCTCTTTAGGAAAGGCCATCATCTGTGAGGAACACACACAATCACGAAGAGTGTAAGATGGATATTTTTGAGTTCTTTTCTTCAGATATCTTCCCCTTTTAATGATTTTACTATGGAAAAGTCTTTTAATATTCATCTGACCTCTCTTAAAGACAACATTTCCAATATGAGCTGCAAACCTACACCTACTCTGCAAAGAAGCACGAGGCACCAACAATTCTTTGTCTAGGTTTAGATCTTTTGAAAACACTTTTCAGACTGGAGGACAAAAAATGAGCAATGGCCCCTAGGAGATTTCTGTTCCATGTAATGAATTTACCATAACCCCATGGTTACCTACACTTCGGAAATGCTTCTGAACTGATAGGATCCCTCAGGAAATATAAACTTCAAAGTGTGCAAACCTTACATACTTACATTCCTAATTCAGTGAGATGCAGAATTTCAATGAGACAATGGTTTTAGGTGCTAAAAGATCATTTCTAAGACTTATTAAGCTGCCATCTCTGAGTTTGTGTATGCAAAGGATCGCGGATCCTTTGGGATACAAGACGATGCCCATGTTTCCCTTGTTCTAGCTAACAGGCATGTTTTCTCTGCATGTCTGCATGGTGTCAGAAGTCCTTTCCTGTGTCTGCTCCCCTCCCTCATATAACTGTGTCTGTCTCTTCCTCTGACCATGTCCAACCCACCTTCACATGACTCAGAGAGTCCCTTAGTGTCCTGCAGCATTGCCTTTGCTCATGCCCTTGATGATCAAGACGGATCCAATGACGATGCCCACCAACCCCACAGTCAGGCCCACTGCACACACCACGTTCTCTGTTGTCTCTGGGATGGGGCTTCGCTCTTCAAACTCTGGGGAGAAATAAAACAGATACTAATGAATGTAGTACAGAGTAGCAGTTAGGATCAAATACAGTCAAGCAAATAATTCCTAATAAATTAAAGAAGAGGAGGGAAGAATGATGCACCGAGGGAAATGCAGATTGAGGTAAGATCAGAGCAGACAAATGGAAGAACACAGCTATGTGAAGTGAAGCAGAAGTTTTGGACCAATTCTGAGTCCTAAGGCTCTAGATAGAAACACCAGAGGAGGAAACTAAAGAGGACTCGAGGATTCTCCGTACCCCAGTGCTTGAGAACAGGTTGATCCAAACCCAAGTGCTCCACCTGGCAGTCATAGACATCTTCCGTGGATGGCACGAAAGGCAGGTAGTGGAACTTGCGGAACAGGTTGTCTTCCCTGGGTAGGAACACTGTGGATGACACTCCCTTGGTGACAGGCTTTCCGTTTTTGAGCCATGTGACACTGATCACCGGAGGGGAGAACTTATCCATGAAACAGATGAGGATGTTGGGTTCTCCAAGTTCCACAGGGCCGTGGGACAGCACGGTGACCTCAGGAGGCACTAGGAGACACGTGAAAGATCTTAGTCTTCACCTGTTCAGCTTGCCTCTCTCCCTCTCGCACTAATTTGGGTACAGAACCGTCTACTGATCCTAAAGCTAAAGAGCAAAACAAAACAAAGTAGTTAAAACTGTGCCCTGAGAAGTCTATGCCCCAGTGGCTGGTGCCTAACTCTGACACTGTAGAGCCCATACAGAGGGATGAGCTACCCAAATTGCTCATTCCAGGCTCCTCCATCATGAGCTCAGGGCGTTGACTTTGTGAGTGATCATGGGTGAAAGAGATAGGATTTGAGCACATCAGGAAAAGCCAAATGCATGAAGTCCGCAGGCTGTGGTCTGCTTGTGGCAGGGTCGGGGCTCTGAGGCAGGAAGCAGTAATAAGACAATTGCTGAAGAATGTTTTTAAAGCCGTGGGTTTCAACACCTAGGGATCCACAGAGAGAGGTACCATTGGCGCCCGCAGTGTGGTTGGAGCGCTTCATTATGATTTCCAGATTGGCTTTGTCCACAGCAATGTTGGCCAGTGCGCCTGGAGCCTCAAAGCTGGCATACTGTCCAAATTCTTCAAGCCTCCAGACCGTCTGCTGATTCTTTAAGTCCACGTGGAAAATCTCGTCACCGTCAAAGTCAAACATAAATTCTCCTGCTTCATCAGGGTACAGATAGAATTCTGCCTGGATGATCTTATGTTCCTCTAAAAAAAGCAGAAAAGGGAGTGAGGGCAGGAATCAGGCGAGGGAACTGAAGACCATGCTGCATGTGCATAGCCAGGATGTGAGGGAGCAAGGAGGAGCCGAATAGAAGAGGTGGGGAGCAGGGATGAGTGACAAGGTGAGGGGAGCATTTGGACTGGACGAAGCTCAGAGGGGGAAGGGAGACAGAGTTAGAAAGGGTAGGCTGAGAAGGTGACAGGTGGGAAGTTCAGTCTTGTGACAGTTAATAAACTGGCTCCATGTTACCAGCTGAGAGATGTTTTTCTTTTTGGAAACTCAGCAACAGCCCCTAAGAGAGAAATGTTCCCCCACTCTCTTTTACCCAGGCATTAAATACACTTAAGCAGAAGCCCAAGAGCATCTTTCTCCCAACAAGGGAATTATGCCTTGAACAGTTTGGACTCTGGAATCGCACACAGTCTGGAACACTTGGGCGAGGGATTTAGATCAGAGGTGGAGTACCTTCCTAGCACAAGTAACATCCTGGGTTCATCCCCAGCACTCCGAAATGAGACAAAACCAACAAACAAAACCCCTTTCAATTCTTACTAATTTACTTACCTAGTGATTTTGAGTAGATTACTGTGTGTGATTTTGTGATTATAGTTCTGCTGGATTTTGATTCTGCTGAGGGCTTGGTTTTAGAATGAAAAGTGATTTCTTAGTGTCCTAGTGTCAGGCTTCCTAAAAGCACTGTTCACATTTTAAGGTGAGAAACTGACTTGTATTTAAGGATAAGACAAATATCACTGGGGCTTGAGAAACTCAGGAAATGTACACTTTCCATGCTCAACACCCATGTCCGTGGATCATCCTTGGCAGCTTGATGTGTCCTTTAATATATTTTTATACTAAGCCTGCCATTTATGGTTCTGACTGAAACTGAGTTTAGTATCAAGGGAATAATCAGCTTGAAAGGGAAAATCCACAGTGGGAGGGTACGCAGCCCCAGGGTGTGTGTGTAGATGAGAAGGAGGATTTCTGTACTTAGTTTTCAGAGAAAAGGGGGAGAATTTTAATGTTTGATCACCTATCAATAAACTTAGAAATTCATTCTGGATTCATGCACAAACATAGATGCTCACTTCCCACCCCAGGGGAAGAACCTTTACTTTTTTAGTTTAGCACCACCGCATGGGGCTCTTTCTGGGCCCGGCACTGGGCCTGCGGATCTGGAAGCTGAGCTATTACTTTGTTTCCCTCCTACCTACACCCTGGGCAGTCACTCGGGCTGAGCACAGCACCTTCCATAGGAGATGTGTACAACCACACAGGTGTTTCCTCCTCAGTGCAGAGAATGGTATCAGACTTCCTGCGAATTCATTTTTCTACTCTCTTGGAAGTATTTCTAAGCAACAGTGACTGTAAGTCATGTGAAATCTTTGGTAGCACGGAGTGGGGAGAGAGAGAGTCATCACTATCCTGAGATGCAGTAAATTAAACAACATTACCATCATCGTGTCCGTCTCCCTCCCTCCCTTGGGCACTGCTGCTTGTTGGAGACTTTTCTTCTTAGTGATCTTCAGTACAATGTCTGCAGTGCAAATAAAGTCTCATATTTTTTCTCACTTAATCCTAACAAAATCGCTACAAATTTTACATTTGAAAAATATCAGGTAGGAAAATGAAAGCCCAGAAAAATCACTTGCTGATGCTTGTCAGACAATATTCCCAGTCTTGCAAGTTTGGCTCATATGAAACAATAATAGTAATCAATTGATAACTCAGTTTGTTTCTCTAAAATAAATTTGATTTATCTCAATTTGTGTGGTGAGGGGAGAATGCCAACAAGTTGTAATTTTATTTTTCTTGCTTTCACTTTTTTTTTTTTTTTTGAGACAGTCTGGCTAGGTAGTTCAGGTAGAATTCAAACTGCCAACATTCTCCTTCTCCCTCTGCCTCCCCAGGGCTGGAATTACAAGCTTACACTGCTCTGCCCCACCTCAGCTAGCTGCAGGTTTACACTCTCAGGTTTAGACCCACGTAATTCCTGTCACGCTTCCACACCAAAGAGTGCCTACAAATTCTCAAACTTCACTTTCCCAAAACTTCACCTTACTCCATCTCTAGCTTTGATTCCCCTTAGCACTTACCTTTGATAGCCCATGATTCCTGAGGTCTCATCAGGACAGCTATGAAGAGAAATTCTAACACCAGGATCCCACTAACAACCATCTTCTTGGGTACTCTGATGGAAGTCAGGATAGCTCACAGCTCAGTCAGAATACACAGGAGTAAAAGAAAAGCTTAAAATTCAAATCAAGTTGAGCATTAGACAATCAGAAAAGACTATGAGATGACACTTCTGTTGCTAAGGCAAGAGTTCTCGTAAGATGTTCAGAACAGGAAATAACACGGTTCATTATATAAAGAAGCATAATTCTTAAACAGAACAAAAGATGCAGATTTTTGAGAATATGAATCAATCCTCAGTCTCCCATCTCTATCTAAGTTCTGGGAAGAGACATACTTGAAACATATTAAGGAGAATAGATGGAATTCAATGAAAACACTCTAAAGTGAGATTAAATGCAGACCCTGAGTTTGGGCTGTGACAGCAGGGAATTTTTTGATGGAGGACGGATCGTCTATGGAGAAAGTTATCTGTCAAACCACAGAGAACAACTGGATTGGGCAGCACTGAATGAGAGCTTTCCTTAAGAAGCTGTTGAGGACTGCGTCTCCTCTCTTCTCCCAACTCACAGGGTGGTCAACAGCTTGTGGTGTTAGGGTCCATAATGTTACGCTGCATTCAAAAACTCTTGGAAGAAAAGCTCTGGTCTCAACATTCCTAAACCTGGAAAGGACGGGAGGCTGGTCCTTGGAGCATGGGTAGTGATTGCCAAAACAGTGGGCACAGAAAGGAGTGTGCTGCTAACTTCTGCTAGAGACCAGAAAGACTGTGGGTAAGAATCTGACCAGGGAAACATGCTCAAACCTCTTCTCCAGTCATAGCATTGTTAAATTCATGATCCAAAGGAAGTATTTTGAAATTCCAGAACAGCAGTTAGGAGGAACCGCAGCCTGTTTCTTAAATACAGTGCACTGGAGAGGGAAATGTTAAGCTAGAAATATAAAGGACTGAAATTACAATACTGCTGATGTAGCGCTCCCTGGCACTGAGAAAATGCGTTCGTTGGTGAGTCTGCCCTTTAACACAGGTCACAGCACCACTGCTCAGGCTAGATTTGTCACTCTGTGGTGTGGAGGTCTTACTCCTTCAGGAAGCGTCCACACATATTATGAGAGCAAGCAGGCTGTACATTGTTGATTATCTGATCACACCCAAGGGCTTTCACCATCTCCAATATTAAGTCGTACGTCACTGAGAGGAGACCCACAGTACAGTTCTTCCCTGAAGTTATTCAGTTATAAATGTCCTGGAAACAGGAATGAACCTCATGATAGTTCAACAGCATCCTATTTTGCTTATGATTTCTTTTTCAGAGGAAAAACAAAGCAGGATAATTTTTCCACTTGCCCTTTACTGGCTACCATAATGTCACGTTATGAAAGATCTGAGTGAGTGCATGGTAAATTCAAAGACATTTTACCTGTTCTGACAGCACCTTTAACCCAAAGAGTTTTTCAGCAACCTATGCTTTGCTGAGTCCCAAGGCAGCAACTGGTTCTGCCCAGACATCTCAGTACTTTGTAAGTTTGTGTCCAGATTGCTAAATTTGGGAAAATTTAGAAAACCTTTCAGTTCCCCTGCTATGTATGATAAATTTGCAGGTCTCATAGGTTCCTGCTCTCCCAAACTCTAGCTTCCTGTGTGTTTGAGGAGATTTCTGAAAATACCTGACATCTCCTTGATGTTGCAACAACCACACCAGTCCGAGTTCAGTGGGAAAATGGGAGTCCCTACAAAAGTTCTACAAGAATTGAATCTAATGTAAGGGATTGGAACCACACCTTAAAACCCCGAGGAAGTCTTGGAGAGCATGAGGCAGTGCAGACCCTTAACTTCAGGAAGTCAGGAGCCAGTGGGACACCCCCACTCAGGGCAGCTTCCCTAGCACCCTCTGGGCATGGACCATCTGCCATGGACATCACTCGCGCCTTCTCCTGCTAACGCTTGCATCTCTGGAACCCTCGTGTCCACCTTACAAGATAACTTCATCCTAGCTCTGTGTCCCCAATATTGTAACATTGAGTCTCCTGGGAAAATGCACGCTCAGAAACTGGGAGCAAGGAAAACCAAGGAGATACAAATATTCTTGCTTCTTTTCCCCAAGATACAATTAGGGCCTTAGAAGTAAATGGGAATTTTATAAAAATGTAAATGCATATAATTGTCTGTTTATCCTTCTATCAGCTGTCTCTCTAATCTGTCTCTCCAACACCTCATCCTGATTCTCCCACAATGTGAGGAAATTCTCCTTCCAGGAACCAGGGTAGGATTCTGGGAGCTGGGTACTTCTTATGTTTGTGTGATTCAAGTTCCGCGGTTCCCCCCACCCCTGTTTCAGCTTCCCTTCCCTTGCCCCCCTGCTCCCCGCTGGATTCAGGGCCTTCATGGTGCTCTCCTGTCAAGGATTTCCACCAGAGATCCTAGGGAATGTCCCCAGGCCTTTCCTCCCAGAGTCCCCAAAGCTGCTCTTCTCATTCTGTGTTACTTCTCCTTGTCCTAAGAGGTAGTGGCATCTAATCCACAGAAGGCAACTGCAGACACCAGCAGCTCTGCCAGTGCGCAGGTCATCCGTTCCCTGCGTAAACCGAGGCCTCCTAATGACCGGGTTCATCCTTAACCTGGAACACTGATAGGGTGAGAATCTGAGGTGTTCTCTGTCTACCCGCACTTGAAACCCGATGTTACAAAGACACGGATTGTCAGCCAGGCACAGTGGCACAAACCTGTCATCCAGCACTTAAGGAGGCTGAGGCGGGAGGATCAGTTTAAGTGCAGCCTAGATTACTCAGAGAAAACCTGCCTCAGAATGAAAGACATTAAATATAAAGGGACTAGTGATGTAGCTCAGTGGTAGAGCTCCCTTAGGGTCATCTCCGCACTCCAAAACCAGCACGGGTGATACAAACTGGGATACAGAACATTCTAATGCAAAATTGTTCCCATTTTCCAAAAAAGTGCATATCTTTACCTGGGAATGCTCTTTTGGCCACTCTGAGGACTAAGGAATGGTTTTATGCGCCCTTCATATAAGACAGAGTACAGATGAGGACCCTTAAACATCATCTTCTATGGTCTGAGGTCTAAGTGTGGGCACATCCTGGCTGAATGATTTCACAGAATTCAGATGCACTTTTGTGAAAATCATTTCCAACGGCTTAAAGTTATTCTGCTGTGCTTTCTTCTAGTACTTTCAGAAGTTTTAATCTTGTCTTTAGGTCTCGGACCCACTTTGAACTGATCCCTTTTGGCAGGGTGAGAGACAAAGTCAGGTTTTGCTCGGAGCTGCAGATCTGGTTCCACCAGCATCATTTGCGGAGAACCCTGTCCTTTCTCTCACACAGGCTTTTGACAACTTTGGTAAAAGTCAAATGGCTGTAGATGCGTAGGTTTACTTCAGAGACTGGTCTGTTCCATTTGTCTATACAGACTTTTGAATGAATATGCTTGCTTAACATGCCTCTGTAGTATGCTTTAAACTAAAGGCATTGTGATGCCTCTAACTCCATTGCCTTTTCTCAGGATTACTTGAGGTATTTTGCGTTAAATGACATTAATTTGAAATATAAAGTCAGCTTGATTTTTGAAGATGGAACAGAAAAATTATAATTTTATATTAAATCACAATCGTTTAAATGGTTTATATATGATCACGATCAGTTACAAATTATTTCCTTACTCCAGTTTATATTAAGTGGTGAAACTATTCTTTATGGCACAGCTTTCTTCCTCTCTCTTAATCCTTTATTCTTTGTTCTCTAAGTGTCTCCAGTACACTCTCCCCTAAGTTTGAAAGTGTCCTGTGCCCGATAACGTTCCCACCTCCTACCCCCGTATCCCCAAATGAGAGATGAACCAGCCATGCCTGGTGTTACACTGCATTCACTTTCCCTTCACGAAGCTTTTTGACTTCCTCAGAGTCACTAGAACATACTTCCAAAGGCCGTGGTTTCTACTCCTAAAACCGCAGATGACTTTGAAAGCAGGATTTTTAATTTTTTCAAGCGTGTTTCCTTAGGAATACTTGGAAGGAAACATGACAGTAATGAATTTAAACTAAGAAGTTGGGCTGTTTCCCCTCCCCCTCCCCTCCCCTCCTGCACCCCCCCAGCCTCTCTCCCTCCCCCACCTCCCCACCCCACTCTGTCATTTTCTCCCACCGGTTGGGTGGTTTCCACAGGGAAATTCCCCTAGGAGGTTGCAGCATTTTGGGTGTCAGCAGCCATTTTTCTACTCGTTTCTTCTGCTGTCTCTTAACTGAGTTTTATGCAAAAAAATATAAGAACAATTTTAGAAAGGAAGAGATTGGAAGTTAAGATTTGGGACACACTGGACCGTTCCCTGATTCTAGATCCTGGCTTCCAGAAAGCCAAGCGGGCTCATGGACAAGTTTGCTATCTGGTGTCCACATAGGGAATTGCAGCCTGATGGTTGGAAAGCTCTGGCTCCGCAAGGGTCAAGTCCAGGACCCTAGGAGAGGGAGGAGAGGGCACAGAGAAACAACCAGGGCGCAAATGTAGGGGCCCCAGGTTGCTGCAATTTTATTTTTAATCCATTTATTCCACATTCAGAAGACCTTCTTATTTCACGTGTGAGGCAGACCTAAATCTCTCTGCATTATATTTGAAACCCACGTTTCTTGGACTTAGTCTTCTTACAGAGCGTTTTCCTGACCTGGGACAACGTGGGGGATGATTCTTCCCTGTGACATCCCAGGCTGAAATGATGGGCTCAGAGGGCCGTTAGGGGGTAGATCCTGGAGGGGCTGAGGGTGCAGGGATCCATTTGGCTGATTAGCTGGTGAGAAATAGCCAGGTGAGTTCCAGGAAGGTCCCTGCCCAGGACAGTGTGTCCCTCGGTGTAGACGGCCAGATGTGAGTTCGAATGCTGTAGGGATGGGAAGAATCGCTCTCTCCATGAGTGCAGGTCTCCTGGCTTCTGGGGGCCTGACACCCCCTCCTCCCCTCACCAGCCCAGGCCCTGGCCCCGTGTGGTGACAGCACGGCTTTTCGGGTGGACCAACATGTGTTTCACTACTTGTAAAAATGGGTGAAATCAGTTTTACAATATTATTACTTTCAAAAACTGGACGGTG